ATTCTGTAATAAATTTACTTCTTATCCACATTATTGCGTGTACTTTTTTGCTGTCTTAAATTGCATCCGGCCATTTTGCATAGGAAATATAAACTTCTCAGTGTCATTGTCATACAAATAGGTATTCCCGCTAAAATGTTAAGGCACGATCTGGATTGTCCCTGATATCACTGCTTTATTTTGTTTTCGTCTGCTGTGACTTGGATGCGGTAAAGGAGCGCAGAATAATAGTGCATTCAGAACAGCGAATCAAATATGGCCGATCCACTTGATTTTTAGTTACATTATCCCCGCGGGGATTCTATACAGTGTCTAATCGGGAATTAGGCGGCAAGCTTTTTGGTGGGTCGCCATATTTGATACGCGGATCTGTTAGTCCGTTAATCTGAAAGCGCTCTAGGGGTTTATCAGTATTTTTAGAGCAAAGGTGATTGCAAGAAGTAAGATAACATACTCTTAAGCGGTATATCAATCATTTAACATAAACCAGTCGCTATTAGTCTCTAATAGAATAATACGGTTTTAGGAAGTTCTTTTTTTCAATAATTTCCCTTGCAATGCTACATATCTGAATAATTAGGATATCCGCCTGGTATATGACTGAGGAGCTAGAACTGCTAGACACGTGTAGTACTCCTGTTTATCTGTTTATGTCGTTATGGTTTAATATGCGGGATTCAGATTTTATGGCGGAGAATCTTGGAAGAGAAAATTAGGTCGATCATTTTGCAAAGAATTTCAGGTTGATATTAAGATATCAAAATCATTTCTTAAAACATTCAAAGACTAGCCTTATAAATAGCAAAATAAATTCGGTTGAACCTGGACCTAAATCCTTCACACACTAACTTTTGTTAAGTGGAGGGTGAGGTCAAGGTCAACGCCTTTCTTTATAATTATATTCGTGACAAATCAACTTAAAAAGCAATCTACTTTAACGTGTATATTATAATTGCACTGTTAAGAGGTTGATAATGCTTGCTTCATATTTATATTTATAATCGAAAATAATGTGATTCCGAAGCATAAATGTGGTATAAATCAAGAGGAAGCACCAGCACTGAACCAGATCTATAATTAGAGGAGTCAGGTGTCTGATAAGTATCCCTTAAAAATCTGATAAGAAAGATGATGGGAAGGAACGGATTTACAAGATAATTAACTCGATAATCCCATCACTCCTTCACCTGTCCAACATTCCGGAAATTTTCACGTCTGAATTACCACCAAAAATAGCTGTAACCTCATGAATTATCGTAGATCATAAAATGCTTAAATGTGGTTTATTTTTATCAAATTATTTTCCGAATCTGCACCTGGACTTTCTCCGTTTATATTGAGGTTTCTGCAAACCCCATGCTCTAACACCTTTGATGTATCTTGTATTTCATCTTCATCAACATAGCAACGGGTATTAGTGATAGAGGCGCCACCACCAAAAAGTTGCATGTTTGTTTTCTAGTTAATGAGGGCATGCGCGAGTGTGTGTGTGTGTGTGTGTGTGTGTGTGTGTGTGTGGCAACATCAGAGAGTGAGAGAGGGAGGGGAGGGGGAAGAGACATAGGGGGAGGAAGGGAGGGGCAGGGAGAGAAAGAGAGAGTTGGAAGGGGCGAGAGAGGTAAGTAATAGCTGCATATAAGCAGCTGTTCTTTACTCTCTCCCTCAGTTAATTTCCGCCCTAATTTCCAAGAAATAATGGCAGTTGCTTGGGACCATTAACCTTTTTCTATAGGTCCTATTTAGATCACTAGGAAAATTTGACCTCAAAGAACAACTGGAATCACATTACACTATGACTCTGCAGGGCTGAAGCAAATATGAAACTAAATGTTGTCAGTTCATTATGTGTTTGCACTATTCCATATCACGCACTTCAAGGTATTTTTAACGTTATCGCTATGGATTTGACAACAGGGCAATCACATGCTGATGAAATCATAAAATAGGGCGTGGCGCCGGTTTTCACAAAATAAATTCAGACCGAGAGTTGGTCGTGACTTCCGTTCAGGATAAACCTACCGTATACCGGTAGTCCACTACATCTGTTGTGTTACGACAGAGACATTCTGATAATAGACCAGAGTGTACATTGGCCTCTGAGATACACTATTTATGTCTACAATCTACCTGTATTAAAACAATGAACCCGTCAAATCTGGGTGGGGGATGGGAGGGGGGGAAGTGGGAGTGCGAACGAAGCACCCATTTTGCCGGGAAAAGGTCCGTTCTGGGTAAAAAATGACCTTGATCCACGATCAAAGTTCCATGGTAAAAGGTCCATCTTTTTTTTCAAAAAAAAAAAAAAAAAAACAAAAAAACACTCCCCTTAAAATTGTTTGTAAACGGTTATCTACATGTACTTAACACTGTCTTATGAAAGTTACCAATCTTTGCAACATGAGGACTATTCTGTTGGTTGATTACGTTGTGTTTCTGCCCAACGCCGCTGGGTAGGCCTATATCATGCGTACGTCTCTGTTACCCAGACCCTCATTTTCCTAACCCTTATATACAGAAAGGAGGATGTAGAATCTGTGGTTTGTGTTCACCTGGTCGGCTTAGGTGAGATAACGTGCTAGTCCCTCCAACGCACAGCTCATGTATCAGTAACACGAGCTTTTGATGTAGCGGCAGGAAGGCAATTTATCCACCACAAGTGGCCATACCTCAATTTAATGGGCTCTGCCATGTACCGTTTATTTGTATGGATGCTATTCTTTGAGGATGGTCCACGAGGAAATCGGGAAAGATAGGGGGTTGGGCGGAGGAGGGGATGTACAGAAACTCGGGGTTTAGATTCATTCACCCCCCTTTAGTTTCATATATGTTAGGTTTAGCGTGGCGTAAATGGGTCAAAATCTAGGCCCTATCTGTACAAATCAATTGGGAACGGACCCTGTATCACAGGGGACTCGCTCGGACAGGAAAAAGGCAAACTTGGCTGACAGCAGCAAAGTCAAAACAATAAAGAAAAAATTAAGAGAAAAAGAAGTCAAACTTTTTATTGTGAAACAAATTTGGGCGAAATAAAGTTTGTAGATTATGTTTATGATAGCTTTTGCAGTACATTTGCCGAGGCACAGAAAGTAGTAACGCAATCGCACAGCGTGTGCGTGTGGAGCGGAGTGCCTGGAGTTGTGTGTCTCAACTAAAGCAATTTAAAAATTGTGTTGGGATGTGCTGAGTGCTGTGTTAACACTGAGGTAATTCTCGTGACCTTTAAACGGAGGGGAACTTTTTTATTTATTTATTTATTTATTTATTTATTTATTTATTTGTATTATAACTCAATACAACTGTAAAGAGTGGTGCTACTTTGTGTAAATTTTTACTGATGTAATATCTCGAGAGAGGTTTACCGTATCGTTTTCTACTATACCACTTTTCCTTCGCTGTTGAGTTTCTTGTTATAGAAATCAAACCAATTGGCATGGAATTAAAAGTATTTATTAATAAACTTTATCATATCACATTTCATCCTGAAATAATAATCTACTAAGTGCACTATTTCTAGAATATTTGATATTAATAAATGTGTTACATGATAAATGAGTCTGGACCGTGTGAATTTCTTTACTGTACTAAGTTGCACAGAATAACTGAGTAATTAATGTTTAATCTTTTTTCCCCTTTTGCAGTTTCTTGGTGTCATAAGATAAAAAATAACCTTTAATTTTGAATACCAATCATGTAGGATTATAATCCATTGTTCGTGGTTCGCGGTACGCATTTCCTTGTTGTCTGTCTATCTCCTCAGTCTGTTCATAGCGTGTCGATGAAGGCCCTGTAACTGGTGATGAGGGTGCTGGGAAAAATAATTTAGAAGTATAAAACAATGTTAAATAATGATTTCCCTATTTGAAACAAGCACATTTTGAAAACATTGGCTATGATCCAACAAATGAATACATGGACATTATTTATAGAGCATGAATTAGGCCCGGAATGCACCTGTATAATTCGAAACATGTACAAAAGGGCTGCAACTTCGCATGCAGTTTACACGGTGAACGAATTATAATGCAGCATTTCTGTCACTGCCATCTCTATCATCTCGTCCACTCCCATCGCCCCATCCACATCTATCGCTCCGCCCACCCTATCGTCCCGCCTTCCCCCATAGCTCCACTGATCCCCATCGCCCCGCCCACTCCCATTAAGCCTCCACCCTATTGCCCCGCCCTCCCCTATTGCCCCTCCCGCAGCTAATTTCCACTACCTCTTAAACGGAATGAACACCTTCGATAATGGTACGTCCAATAAATGCTATTTGGGGTAAAAAATAAAAATAAAACAAAAAATATGCCCCAATTGCACACTGCATGGTTAGACCTACACCTGAATCGTAGTGTGTACGACACACTAGACGTAATTCTCGTCCGGGATGAAAGGAATGGTAGACCGCTAGGAACCGTAGTCCTTTCCCCATTACTTTGTGGAGATTGCTTTCGTCCCATATATTAACCCCAGTACTCCGACTAATCCTAACCCGAATTAATCATATGGGACCCAAGGCTTCCATTCCTAGGTCTACCTTACCTGAAACAACGATCTTAAAACTTGCAAATGTTCGGCTAAGACCGATAGTTAGTGATTCTAAGGAACTGTAGATGTCGTTAGTGTATTACCTTGCGGGACACCTTGTTACAGAAGGATGGAGGACTGAACACAGTGGTGTCCTTGATTCCGGCCGTCATGGAGGTGAAGGCTATGGAAGTCATTTGACCGCCTGAATTTAGAGAGGTTATACATTCACGATACATTCACCATTATATTCACCAATATATGGTCATATGGGGGCGTCTCAATAGTCCGAAGGTTCATTGGTCCGAAAAAAAGTAACATTTTCATCGTTTTTTTTTTAAATCAAGGATTCATTGGTCTGAAGGTTCTATATATATAAGGGCTATTGAACCGTCAGATTATTGCTACGGCATATGGTCAATGTGGCTACATTTAACCGTGAACGAATATACGAATTAAGGAACGGATAATGCGAATTATTCTTCAAACACTGATCCAATGTTTTTGCCCCTGCATTCTGTCTCTGTGACAGAAAAGCTGTCCAACTATGTTATTGCCATCACACACCACGAGGTTAATTACCTCGCCGCCATATTTACCATACTAGTTCCCCCAACAATTTCGTCTCAGATATGCATTTTAAACTCTTTAAACATATTAAGTGAATAAACTTTTTAAAAAGTCTGCAGTGTATAACGCGTGTACCTGCATCAGTGCCACTGTATTCAGTTTCTATGACGGGGATACAGTCTTGCTGGGTAACTATAAGATCAAAGGTCGTACCATTGTACGTATACAGCCAGCGTTGACACGGCAGCTGGCTGCTGGGACTGCCAAAGTAAAACCCACCTCCAAACTTTGCGTCATCTGCAAAAATAAAGACCAGGTAAACTTGATTGTGCTTTTTATTATTTTACAGAGATTCCAAATATGGCGGATTTGGTAAGATACTGACGGATGTAACCTTACTTGTGATTGCATGGTCTATGGTTGGTCTATGATAACATTTTGCGTTTGTAAAGTCAAAATATATCTTCATTCACCAGGAGGCACCGCCAGATGACCGGAAATGTCACAGACGCTGTCCTTTGTCAAGTTACCAATTTATAACTAATTGGTAACGATCATTATGACAGTTTACTGTAAAGCACGCGTTCTTATAATTATCAAAGAATGCATTAAGTACACGTTATATAAGCGTAGATAAAGTACGTAGTTACCCGGCATGCAGTTCGGTGGCATGGCTCCCTTTAGCGCAGATTTGGTGCACGTGGTGTTCATAATGACATACTGCATGCCCTGAAGTTCGTAAGAAACAGTTTTTTAAAAGGCAAAAATAGTGTTAGACACAGCTTAAATGAACATCATGCATTAGGACTGTACATGCATTTGTCTGTTTGCAAATGTAAATAATGAAATTGAAATGTTTAAGTACTAAATGATTCCGTTCTATACCGACTGTGAGGAGCTAGAAATAA